TAATTCTTTCCTTTTTGTCTTATAATTGTCCTAACTCTAAACCTTATTACTCTAATTGTGTTATTAGTTTTATAACCATTTTATTATTGTTAAACTTTTAAACTTCTAAAAACCAAGTTTATTGGCTTTTTTCACACCAGGGAGATGCTCCAGGCCCTTCCTCATCTTTATTGGAGCTCCACATCCCTCCTGTCCCTGGACACAGCGTTCCCAGGGTGTAAAAACATCCTTGTAGCTGATCTTACAGCTGCAGATTGAAAAGGGACAAATTCTGAAGGTCCCAGTGTTGGGATCGTGCTGTTTCCCCGTTAAAATCCGTTTTTTCCTCGGGATCGCTTTCAAATTCCCAACTGTGCTGGGATCCGCCCTGAGGGGCTGAGGATCAGCGCGCCCTCAGCACTCGGTGGTAGCAAAACATCGACTCCAGGAGGGAAAAACCGACTAAAAAGGGACAATTCCTGAATTTCTAAATAATGGGCTCGTGCTATTTCCCCGTTAAAATACAGTTTTTTCCCGGGGACTCCTTCCTAAATTCCCGCCGGAGCTGGGATCCGCCCTGAGGGGCTGAGGATCAGCGCGCCCTCAGCACACGGTGGTAGCAAAACACCGACTCCAGGAGGGAAAAACCGACTAAAAAGGGAAAAATTATGAACTTCTCAATAATGGGATCGTGCTATTTCTCCGTTAAATTGAAGTTTTTCCCCGAGGTCTCGTTCCCAAATTCCCGCCGGTGCTGGGATCCGCCCTGAGGGGCTGAGGATCAGCGCGCCCTCAGCACTCGGTGGTAGCAAAACACCGACTCCAGGAGGAAAAAAACGACAAAAAACCGACAAATTCTGAAATTCCCAGTAGGGGTATCATCCTGTTTCCCCGTTAAATCCAGTTTTTCCCGGGGACTCCTTCCTAAATTCCAGCCGGAGCTGGGATCTGCCCTGAGGGGCTGAGGATCAGCGCGCCCTCAGCGTTCGGTGGTAGCAAAACACCGACTCCAGGAAGGAAAAACCGACTAAAAAGGGACAAATTATGAACTTCTCAATAATGGGATCGTGCTATTTCCCCGTTAAAATCCAGTTTTTCCCCGGGAATTCCTTCCTAAATTCCCGCCGATGTTGGGATCAGCCCTGAGGGGAACCGCGCGGGGTGAGGCAGTCGCGCCACTCAGCGCTCGGTGGCAGCAAAACACCGACTCCAGGAGGGAAAA